AAAATTCACACTGATGAATATCAAAGTCACAATTTATAGTGGTCCTTGAAAGTTTGTGGTGATAAGAAATCTTTCTTAAGACTTTATTTAGCTTTTGCTTTTTGATCAACCTAATTATGTGAGGGAACAGTACATGGAGTGAATTAGAAAGACCCCTGGGTGGCCTGAGTTCAGGACCAGGTGGACTTGGTTTCCATCACTGGGAAATATATCAATCACAGCTATGGTTTAGAGCCCTGGCTTTCATAATGACATTTATCACATTCATAACTTGGGAACTTGTCTTCATATTTCGTAAGAGTAGTTTTACTTTTCATCTCCAATTTGTGTGTGTGTGTCATTTTAGCGCCAATGGTTTATTTGTGTACCTTGAGAATATTTAGCCAGATGGTGAGAGTGTGTTGATTGCATCTCTTTCGGGTGGCTAGGGAAGACTTGGCCCAGTAGAGGTGGAATCCATAGCTGTAGGTACTACACAAAGTAAGCAAAGTGAGCACTGCTCATAGATGATCACTGATTGTAGCTTTTTGTAATTGTTACCTTCTGACTCCATCCAAAAAGAAAAAAAAGTGAACATCAGCTTAGAGGAAGAGAAAGAGTGCTAGATTGGGTGTCTGGAGATATGAGTTCTAAATCTGATTTTACCTCTTATTAGTATGAGACTTAGGAGAGCTAGAAAATCATGCTGGGCCTTGTGTTCCTTACCCACCAAATGGAGGAAGATCAGACTTTATATTAATTTATGGCCCTCCCAGCTCTGATAGTCTATAATTCCTGTGCCAAAAACCCATCTCAGCATCATTGTAATAGCTTTCTTTTCCAAACATCAAAGAACAGAGTATTTACATCACTTTGATTTATAGGGGACTCAGTTGGCTTTCTACTAAGAGAATTTTACCCAAGGCCTTTCTGTTTATGCTCCCGTTCATAAATCAATGGAAAAACAAAATTTCCTAGTTTACTCAGGTATACATTTCATTAAACAGTAAGAAAGAGATTTATTAAAGAATTCCAGCTAAGTCATTGTAATCAAAATCCTTTTTAAAATTCTTATATTTGCCAACAAAAGTGAATATGAATCAAGAAAATAGAGAAATATTTCTTATAACAGTGTAAGATATTAAGAGCATATGAAATAAAAGGCTGCCAATTTGATGTGGTTTTGTAGGTTACTGAAGGCTCTATTTTCACAGAAATGTTTCCCCATCAGTCTGAGTCCCATCATTAAAGATTCATTCCCATTATTTACTGTTTTACGAAAATACAAAATAGGCCTCAAATAGGAGCTACTATATCTTAGTAATTTTAATATTATATAATTTTATATAGCCCTCTAAAGATGACAACTTTCACACATATTATCACATGAAAACCTCAAAATTTCATGAGGAAATTAGAAGAACCTACATGCAACCAAATTCATAGATGAGGAAATCAAGACTCTAAGAGATTAAATGACTTGTTCAGGGTCATCTAGGTAGTAAGTAGCAGGGCCAGGATTAGAACCCAGTCTACTGATATCAGCTCAGTTCCCTTTATCCAACATTTCTCTATGGAAAGAGACAGCATGAGATGGGAGGTGAGGGTATGAGATGAGGCCTTTGAGGACAGACTGGAATTCAAAGTTTGATTCTGCTATTTCTTTGCTATTTGATATGAAGGAATAACTTAAACTCATTTTTGTTATCTGCAAAAAAAATCAAGAATAAGAATATCATATAAATACTATAGGGGACATAATATACATTAAAGTGCTTAGTGTTAATAGTGCATAGTAGTAATCTTTCTGTTTTTACTACTGAATGTATTTTTAATCTTACAACTAGGTTGAGAGAAAGAACAGGAATATAAAGATAATTTAAAGAGAGGTACTACTTCTTTTTATGAGCCTTACATTTCAAACTGTAATAGTTGTTTTCATTGTATTCTATTTCACATTCTTTCTTGAGTGTGCAAGTGTAATCCCCCACCCCGAATGCCCTTCCTGATTCTTGACGCTCTGATGAATGCCCACACATTCCTTCAAACTCAAACTCCAGTCACTTTCTCTTTAAAGCTTTCTCTGTTGCCATAGGCTCTTTTTGTGACATTCAGTGTACGACTCAAATTCTCTCATAAATATTTACTAAGTGCCCCCTGTGGTTCTAGGGAACTCTGCTAGGGCAACATGCACTTCGTAGAGTTTCGTTTCCATTCATAGTTCCCACACCTTGGGATTTTATAGACCTTTCCATTTAAAATGTGAGGACTAATGTAAAGTTAGAAGCTTACTATTTTCTAAGTAAGGATAAAATAAACCAACACATAAGAAATGTCATTTGATACAAAAATATAAAAAATGAATAGATTAAGCTTTTTGGAAACTTCATAGGAGGAGGCCTGCGTTATCAGGGAGTAGGCTTTGGGGGATTCACTGATTTAAGTATATTTTTGTCCCAATTTGATAGTTCTTAGAGATAATTTTTTCTCATTCAATTTTACATTCCTAGTGCAGTGCTCTGTGTCTAGTAGGAAGTATTCAATAAATATTTATGAAAGAGGTAGTGAATTTGCCTCTGAGCAAATACATCTGAGATCTGTGGTCCTGCCTACAGCACAGAGCACCTGTGAGAGGGCACAGTAGTAGTGAGAGTGGCGAGCTGTGTGTGTACTGATATCATTTACTTCACAAGTTGGCCAGGCACCAGCCACCCTGAAGAGTTTTGCAGTTATAAATGAGATTGTCTTGACAGAGAACAAAGGAGGAGCTGGGGAAAGAAGAAGTAAGATAATGAGACATATCACTGTAGGAAGAAATGGACTTACTTCCTGCGGTACCATTTATAATATTCCACATGACATCTTAGGTGGGTAAAGAATTATAATAAGGGTAGCTGTAGTAAGTAGATAACATTCATTTAACATTCTTTGTGTTAGGCAGTGTTATAAGTTGTTTGCACTCATTATGTCATTTAATCATTACAACAAGCTGTTGAGGTGCTGTGATTGCTATTCCCTTTATATTGATGAAGAAACTGAGGCTTGCAGTGATCGAAGGATTTACCCAGCATCATACAGTTAGCCACTAGTAGAAATAGGCCTCAATCCTGATACATTTGTCTTTAGAGTATACCAAAACTCTTGGATCCCTTTCTAGCCACATATTTCTGCAGTGAGCAGAGTTTTATATGACTTGCCATTCATTTAAAAAATAAGAAGTATATTGAAGTGTTTCTTGACATCTAGGATTTTAAAGCTCCTGGGGTACCCATTTTTTCTATTTAAAAACTGTGTGACCATAAGCAAGTGCCTTAACATCTTTGAGCTTCAATTTCTACATCTCTAAAATGGGGACAAAAGCCCTCCTGTTTTTTTGGGAAGATTAATTACGTTCTGTGTGTGAAATAGCTGGCAAAGAGTATGGATTATTAAGGGGGTTTTATAATGTTAATTCACTATGGGGTCTAGTAAGATAAAATGTTTATGAATTAAAATTATATTAAATATTAGAGAGAGGATGAGAGCAAATAGCTCATTACTCTGGTGAATAAAGATGCCTGTATTTACACAATTCTTTGGAGAACCAAGAGGATTATCTTTGCTGCAGCCCTCATTTCAACTAAGAACATAGAGATTAGACATTTCAGCATAGGGATACATTTATATTTGGTTTACACCACAGATGCACATTTGCAGCATCTCAACATTCCTTTCCTTGGCTATAGATGTAACAAGCTACTTCAGCAAACCTGCAACTGCAAGATAAATGGAAAATGCTTAATCATTTAAAAAGAAATCAAAAGAACAAAGCATACCAGTGAGACAATTAAGTGCAGGAAGTCTCCTCTACTTTTTGAAAGACTGACAAATGGCTTCATTAAATTGTCAGGATACAAAATCAAAAGAGTTCATCTCTAGTATTTTTACACACAAGCATTTTCAGAAACAAGTATACATATCTATATGTGATCTCATTTGGGGAAAAAGTATTGTTCACTGAGAAAAGCAAGTTGCAGAACAATGTGTTAAATTTGAACTTATTTTGCAAAAACAGTGATGAGCCCCGCCTATATCAGAGTATGCATTTTATGGGTTTGCATAAGCATGGAGAAGGTATAAATGGTTCATACCAGGATGTCACATTGGGACCCTCAACACTGGTTGCCCTGGAGGGAGTTTGGGAGGAGAGTTTTATTTCTTGAACATCTTTGCATTATTTCACCAAATGCAACGAGCATAGATTACTTTGGAACAAAAACATTTAAAGATAAAAAAGTACATTTTTAATCTCTAGCTACCCACTTGTTTATTAACTTATTAATTATCCAATATTTATTAAATCCTTAATAGTAATAATTAAAGGTTGGTCTTCTCTGCGAATTTTCAAACTTGACTTTTTCAGAGGTATGGTTTTACTTTGTGGCATAAGCAATGTGATTCTGAGCTCTGTCTTTAAATCCTGCCCTTTTCCTCCTTGGGGTTTAACAGGATTTATGAAATTCAAACCACTTGTAGTTAATTTCACTCCTTTCCTTTCTACCTGTAGATATTGCACGAGACAGAGGATCGACTGACTCTCAATTCCATTGAATCGTGGGTGGCCATTGGTGGCAAGAAGTGAAATATAGAGTCAAAAGACAAGAGTTTCAGTCCTGACTTTTCCATTCACCAGATATTCAGTATTGGTATGCCACTTCCTTCTCTCCTCCAGTAATAATACTTTTCTTATAGTATGGCTACAAAGCTCAAGTAGGATCAGATCTTGAAAGTCTTAAAAAATTGCAAAGCGATAGACAAGTATATATTACTCTTTCTCCACAAAGATTTTGTGATTTTGCTTCCTAACATAACAATGACACGTGTTGACAAGTATTTGTGGATTTCCACTAGAAGCAAGACTGTAATAAATTTGAATGGTGCTCAGAAGTTTCATTTAGCCCCAAAGTAATAGCTGACACATTAGGCAAATGCGATTTCTTGGTAATGATCACAAACCCAATTCACCAACAATCATATCTGACCTGGTGTAATCGTCTTCAACAAGCATGTGCTTTGGAATTGGTGAGTACCTTCCTGGAGAGATGGGTGGCAGGGAGGTTTTATATTCTAAAGTGCCATTGTTGCCAGAAAGTAGATGGTTTTCCATCGGAGGAGAATAAGCTACCAGGTGAAAAAAAGAAAGAAAAAACACCTGTTACGTGGGTGATTAAATGTGTCATATTATAGTTTAGTTAAAAATAGAAAGGCTTTGCTACACGTCAAGGATTTTCTTGTCCTCCAAGATGAGGGAGTTGCTGCTTGTTTGCATTTAATATGTACAAGCACATGGTGACCTTTAGGATTGGAAAGATGTAACAGCGATTATATTTGTAAGCCCAGTTTGTATAACTAGGTGAAGAGAAGATTTAGAGGAGAGATTTAGTACACATGTTTTCAGAACTATGATTAATTTTTCTATTGAAATAAAAATGTTAGTTTTCTAAGTACAGAGCTCACATTATTTTCACATAATTAATATCAAATCATCAAAAGCAGAAGGCTCCTAGGAACAAGTTTTTGTATAGACTTTAATCCCAATATATGCTGTACCCACACCCCAGAAAGGCTAAGAACTCTGGCCTTTCTTTTTTATTCACCCACCCTAACTCATCCTCTTTTGGGGAGACTAAAAACCCCTCCTAACTGGGTCTCTTGCCCCCCCCCACCCCATGTTATACACTGATTAATTCCAGCTCTGATCGTGAGGTTCTCTAGCTTCAATGCTCTTCACTGACACAGTAGTACTGAATATTTATTCTCCCTTTCTCCTCTCTTACAAGATTAGCCCATTACACATGTCCCATGGTCTTCAAACAAAGCCTGTTCTTTCCAACATCTGTACCTTTGCTCTACTGTATTAACTTCAACAATTTCTGCCTCCTATCCCATCTCTCATACTGAAATCTCATCCATTCTTCAGGATAAAATCCAAATGCCACCTTGTGCATAAATGTATATATATTTTTTATCTTCCAAAAACACTCATTTCTTTGAGTGCCCAAAGGACATATATTTTTTTACCTCTTTCCTGGCATATACATCCTTATATTTTGCCACATGTTGTTGTTATTTATATACCTGAATTAGTCTTCCTTCCAATGAAAGCCATGATGGTATCTCCTTTGTATCCAACCTATTATCCTACAAGGTATTCTGCACATATTAAAGTTAATACACATTTCTTAGTTTGAATAGCAAGTTTTGTTTTCTCTCTTTTGTCTCTTAGACATTGACCTTATATGCTCACAATAAAGTGGCTTACAGAGTCTCAGGAATGATTTTTCTAAGTTCATTCAGTTTATAAAACTTTGAAGTTCAAGCTCTTTCATATCCTAAAGTAAGGCTGATTTCAAATTACTGCCTGCTTTAAAAAAAAAAAAAAAAAAAGGTATTTTGAGGCAAGTCATTTTAGAATCACCATTAAGAAAGCAATAGCTAACATAATGGGCAGGTAACAAAATAATTCAGCCTTTAAATTTCTCTCAAGAGAAACATCTAAATGTAAGAGAGGTTAACTGACTTGCTTAAGACCATGGTACTAATTAATGGGAGGTCCTGAAGACACTCTGAATTCTTAACCTCGAAAGTGTCTCCTTAAAATCTCAGAATGAGAAAACATAGTGATGTCAAAATAACTGCTCCTTACATTCATTCACAAAAACAAATTGCTTAAAAATCGAGTCTTCGAAGATAGAACCTTAGGTAAGTTTCTTGTTGACCTATGAAGATGAGTAGAAAACACAGGGCAGCACAGTATCTCATGGTTAGTTCTTGCCCTAGAAGCCCACCTCCAACTCATTTCTACTGCCACAGTGACTGACAATTTTCTCTGACTTCCCTGCCAATATAACAAACTCAGGTAAAGATAAGAGCTAAGATGCTGGTGATTAAGAACGATAATTTCACGATTCAAATACAAGATCCTCTTCCCCAGGAAGAAGCCTAGTATTATCCTGAGTCTGCTTTGCCAGCATCTCTTTTTCACTCTGCTTCTATGTAGATCTGAAGTAGAAAGAGAAAATATTATGGCAGGAGAGAGATTATGTTTTACGGACTTAAGAAATAGCCCTTGAAAATGTGTTGCCCTATGTTATTGTAATCACACTGTCACTAAGCCTTTCCATAGTGGTGGACCTGCCAAATCATCAGGATGATTCACCTTCGAAACACTAGGTAAAGCCCTACAAGGCAACCAAGAAGAAAAGTACAGGATCCCTCTGAAGTATTTCCACAGGCTTAACAAATGTGATGGTGCAAGCATAGGACTTTGCCAGGCTTTGTAGAATTCCCATTTTACAAACCTGGCATGCTATTCGAAGATGACAGAGTGTGGTACTCACAGTGAGTAATATCAGGTGGACCATAAGGATCAGTCATATAAATGGTGGTGGGTTTGCCAACTTTTAGATAAACTACATCTGACGTGTTCTTCAATATTGCTACTGCCTCTTCATGTGTTACTTCTTCTAGACTGTAGTTGTTTACCTGGAAGTTGGAAAAATTCAATATTAGCATCAAATCTATGCAGGTGAAGAGAAATACTCGGGCAAGAAGATATATCAAATTTTGACCTTATTTAAGGATTAAATTGCAAAGATTACAATCCAGTATCTATATCATATGTTGACAGAACAGATGGATTAATGGCATTTTCCAAAGCAGATAAGGTACAGCTGTAAATGTCAAAAAAACAAGGTTGCTTCTGCCTTTTTCTGTGGTGAAGCAATACATTATAACAGTGAGCAGAATATTCTTTGGGGAAAAAGAAAAGCAGTGGTCAAATGTCTTTCTTATTATGCCATAATTTTTATGATTACAAAAGTAATACATAGTCATTGAACTAAAAAAAGAAGAAAATAAAAATTACCCATAATCTTCCTATTTGTTTATATCTCTGACCATATTATACACATTGTTTTGGAATCTGCCTTTTAAACCTACAGTGAGCATTGGTCCGTATCTCGAATGCACTTCAACAATATGACTTTCGTTATCTACAGAGTATTGTCTAGCGTGGCTGGAACATAATGATTAAACTACTCTCTTACTGAGGCATGTTTAGTTTGCTTCTAATTTTTCCCACTCTAAGTAATATTGCAGTAAACCTCTATGTTTGCACACAGTTTGGATAACTTCTTCAGGATAAATCATACAACTAGAATTGCTGGACCAAACTGCATGAATACATATTACAAGGCTTCTGATCTGATTCCCAGAGTGTCCGTTGGAAACACAAACCAATTTACACTTATACCAACTATAGGAAAACCCCTATTTTCCTACAGTTTTGCCAAACTTGGCTTCTCTCACATTAAAAGTCATTCCCATAGAAATGTCCCATTTAACACGAGTCAATTTTCTAAGGAAAGAGTGCTAATGTTGGGACCTAGGGCTTTGCCGGTGAACAAGCTCCAGGGTTCCCTATTGCCAATACCTTTGACAGCAATTCTGCTTTGTTACTGGACAGAAAGCCCGGGATACAAGTGCAGTGATCGCTCCAGGCAGTGGCATTGCTGCGGGTCTCGGCAGCACTTCTCTTCAATGATTTAAAAATATGCAGGAAGTATTTTAGATACCTAGGTTATCCTTATTTGGCTAGTATTTTATTATGACATGATTCTTCAGTTAGTTTTCTGTTGAAATAATGTAGAATTAAAATAACTGTGCTAAGATTGGATCCCTACATACTGTCTGTACTATCTAATTAGCACGTTAGTCATATAATACCTTTCAGTATTGCTTTTTAGGCTTCATGTTACGTAAATTCCATGTGCCAGTTCATCCTTGCTGGTGTAGCCCAAGTTAGAGACAATGGAACTGGAGGGAATTGAACCTGACTGCTGAGTATGAATTCTGACCGTGAACTCGCCGGTGAGCTATAAGTGCTTCTATGTTCCTGTAGTTTTTTTCTAGACAAGAAATATTCTCTTAAATTCTTTGGTAGTTCCAATGCCTAGCACTTGTTCATTCATTGATCAGATGTTTATTGAACACCTATTATGTGTCAGTCACTGCTCTATGTATTAGAGATATAGCCATAAACAATAAGAATGATAATCATACCAATTATTAGCCTGTATTACACTGTTCTAAATAATTTTGCATATATCGACACAATCAAACCTCACAACAACCTATGAGGTAGAGATTATAATTGCCTTCATTTTATAGATGAGAAAAGCATGTCTTCAAGAGGTTAAGAAACCTGCCTAAAGTCATTGACCTAGTAAGTGGTAGAGGCAGAAATAAGTCATTAACCTAATAAGTGGTATAGGCCCCAGAGACCACACTTTGCTTATTCGTCTATATTACTTCTTCCAAATAGACAAGGTCCCAGCTTCCCTGAAACTCACTTTCTAATACATTCTAAGGACACAGTTGTTTATAGAATGAATGGCTAGAATAGACCCATGCAGAAAGTGAGAACATAGCGGGACTATAGGTATGGGAAACATAATTAATCATGGCAGTCTTATATAATAGAGAAATAAAAAAAATTAACAGTAATAATAACAATAACAGCTAACATTTATTTAAAACCTACATGTCTTTTGTTTTTGGCGTACTGTGTATATGTTTTGACATAAATCACATAATATCCTGGGTATAGCTCCATGAGGCAAGCATTATTAGGCCCATTTTACAGATGAGGAAAACAGATGTTTAAAGAAGACAGTTTGCAACAAAGAGGTCACACAGCCTCCACAGGGCAAAGCCATCAGTTGAATTAAGTCCTCCTGATAAATGAAAACGAGACTGCCCTTGAGTGTTGGTTTACTGAAACTCAGGGCTTACATCATCTATTCTTTCTCCCTTGAAGAGAACAGAGTCTCCTGCCAAGTTTACATATAGAAATAACATAAATTCCAAAGTGTTATATAAGCCTGAGTAATCATTACACTTCTTGTTTAATCCAGTGGTGACTATATTGCATCATTCAAATATATTGGCAGAGTTAAAAGATAAATAAGTAGAATGGGATGTAGTTTGATCTGTCTGTCTCTTCGAAACCTTCTTATATATTTGATCACTTTTTTTAGAACAGTACCATGTGTACCTGGATAATGACTCTTTACAAATGATGCGCATATACAATAGTTTAAAATGTGTATCCGAGAAGGTGTTTTCTCTCAAAAAAGTATTACCTAAGGTGGCTCTGAATATTGTGACCAAGGCCCAGAAACAACTATATTGATAAAACAGAATAGAAAAGGAATGTGTCAGTATAACAGAGGGGATGGCAAGTCAGGGGATAAAGACCCAAAGGCTAGAACCACCTGGATTAGATTAGAAGCGGCACAGGAGCTCTGCTTTGGTAAAGGGCTCATGGTGTCTCTCCCCAGGGGACAGAAAACACACAGCTCATTAGATTATCTGTGAAAAAGAGATTGGCAGTGAAACAATCTAGAAGATGGTACCTTCCAGCACATTTTCTGAGACTGACTTTGTCGACAGACTCTTAGACCACAAGGAAAATCTTCGGACCAGAGAGCAGAAGTTGAGGACGGGATGGAGGTGAGGAGTGGGGAAAAGAGAGAAGCCAAACAGAAAGACAAGTATATGATCTCACTTATTTGTAGAATATAATGAATATAACAGTCTGAGGAATGGGATAGTTCCAGAGACGTGGAAGTGGGGTACAGACTGACAATCCCCAGAAAGGGGGTGGTGGGGGAGAGATAAACCACAGAACTTATATGCATGTATGCAAGAACAATGGACATGGACAACAAAGCTGGGGACAGGGCAGGGGGGAGGGGGAGGGGGGATCAGTGTGGGGAAAAGGAGAAACATCTGTAACAAAAATGAATTAATTATAAAAAAAAAGTGGCAGGTCAGTCTGCTTTTATTTATGACAAGGAAGTGTTAAAAATGTACACCAATTTTAGTCACGGAATGAGTGGTATGACATTGGCCACAGGAAGTAGTCACTGAGAGCACATGCCTCTATGTCATGCAGACCAGGATCTGAGTGCTGGTTCTAGCACTTTTTAACTGTGTGACCTTGGGGAACTTATTTCACCTTCTTGGCCTCACTTTTGATGCTTGTAAAATAGGTATGATAACAATCACTGGATTTAAATGTATTGACCTATGGAAAGGGACAGGCACATAATAGTATTTATTAAAGGCAGCTCTTATTAGTATTACTATTGTCATCATCCATCTCTCTTCCCAGGAAACAGAAATTCTTGGTGAAATTTTTTGCTGAGCATTTTCCCGTAAACATCTGTGAACTGATGAGTTTAATTAGGGTACTGTTGATGAGGCTTCTGTGTAGATTTTTATTTTTTTAAAGCAGAATAGTACAGGATCTGGACTAAAAAGTGGTCTTTTGTGCTGAAGTCTTCAAAACGTTTTTCACAAAAGTATGTTTATTTGGGTTAATTATGTGGGTGCAGTCTATGAACTCTCAAAGGGCCTACAGCTGGAGCTGATTGTACGAGAGAGAAGGGACATTATACTGATTGGCTAGTTGCTCTTGTCATTGTTTTTTATTGTCTTTTTCCTTTTTTCCTTTCTTTTGCATGGAGTATCTGCCTATAATGGTGAACACTGAGCAACTGGCCTGGTTTCAGAAAAAACAAACAAACCCATGTGCATTTGGATGAAGTATCTCCCTGGAGTGAGCGTGTGCTATATGGCAGGGGGGCGCGCCTGTGTGCAGCCCAGTTGTAGGTCCGTTAGGACCTACACAATAGGTCCGTGGACTGAGGCCCAGGGAGAGAGGGGTTGAGGCGAGATGGCTCATTCGCTCAGAGGAGGAAGCACGGAATCCGAGGGTGATGGAGATAGAACAGGGCAGCCCAGCTGAAGAGGTGCCAGGAGACTTGCCAGCAGGGAACATGACAAGTGTGGTGTGAATTCAGATGAGTGTAAGCACACGTATATGTGACGGTACAAAGATGGGAGGTGTGGGCAGGAGAGGGTGGCGATAAGGAAGAAGGAGCAAAGCACTGATGGTGAGGTCCTGACCTTTCCTGTTCTTGCAGGAACACCGTTGGTGGGGCACACTGGGAGGTGATTAGGGACATAGAGGTGACCAAAGACGTACTATGAGAATCTAGAAACACTAAAAAAATTACAAACTCTAAAGTTAACTTTTTAAAAAGGAGACAAAGTAATTGATCATTAGAATGTAAGATAAATTTAAAAAGGGACCAATCTAATGTAGTAATGTCAATGATATGCAAAACAATATGTACATAAGCCAAAGACTAAAATTACTGCAGTACACTAAAATTCTTATAAAAATGAATTCTAAAAATAACTATGAATACATAGGAAACACTAATGATGGTTAGTCTGGATAATAAATATTTTCTTACTTTTCTTTTCAGCAATGAACATATATGTATTAGTTATTTCTAATATCAAATCGACTTTATTTTTCAAAATGAACAAGAACAGAAGCTTAAATAAGAAAGAACATAAACTCAGTGCAGTGGCTTCATTATGAAACACATATAGCAAGATCTCATGAG